TTTAGCTTGGAGAAATGTCTCAGAAAGGACTTTCTTCATTGAAAACTATTTTTCACATGACTTCAGACTGAGAGGAAACTCCCACTCCATCTTTGCTGGGGCCTGATGACTGCTACAAGATAGTCTTGGTTTTAAGTTCCTCTGCATAGCAGGAGATGGGGTTGCCTTGGTAGAAGGAACTATATGCAGCCACAGCTGTGTGTCTGTGGTTTATTTGCTTCTTTAGGTTCTCGTCCTCCATGAATAGCCAATGCCTGCCAACAAAGCACGGTCTGCAGTTCTTTTGTGGGCATGAAACTGGGTTTTCAGATGTTCCCTGTTACTGGTAGTACTCTAAGCAGGGCACTGGTGCTGTTGATGAAATTCTCACTCAGAGTGGAGACATCAGAGCTGTCTGTGGGCTGCCTTGGATAAGCATGCACTGGTGAAACCAAAAAGATGACTAAGGATTTTGTGAAACTGCAGATCTTGAGTTGTTTTGAAAAGCGGCCAATGTGATTTCCTAGCTGAAAGTGTGAACTCTGTGGAAATTATTTGCAATTTATTTCTTTACTCCTACCTTCCACTAGGGGAGGTTTTCTGTTCCCCAGCGGTGAGAAGAGTTATCAGACAACAGGGAAAATTAAGTTAGCACAGAACTGATTAAAGAATTAGATTTCATTGTAAAAAGGTGACAAAGTACATGGCATATAGAGGTAACTGCAAATTTTTTTTTTTTTTTTTGAGAACTGGTGCCATTTTTTTTTATCAAATAATGTCATACACCGTAGGTTAAGGAAGTGCAGTTTGCAGCTTAAGTTTACAGTGATGAAGCTTCTGATAATCTTCAGTTCCTATTTCGTAACTGAGGACGAGCCTATGGGATAATGGGGTAGCTAAAACCTAAGAACAGCAGTTTGACAAAGGATCTGACAGAATTGCAGTTTACAGAACAGATAATCCCAAACAAGAACAAAAACATTGGTGCTACCACTGGGTCTCAAAAGCCACCAAGTGTGAGGGCACGGAAAAAACTAAGGCAGACTCATGAAGTCTAGGGAGTTTAGGGAGGAGATGGGCCTATTTTTGTAGCAGAAGGTCCTTTCAGCTGAAGGGCGAGTGATCTGACTGCATAAAAGAGGTAGAGTCTCTGTTTTGAAGAAGCTGTGAGATGCAGGAGGATACCCTAAAAGACGAGCATAACTAGAGGCACGGCAAAATGGTAATAGTGAAGTTGGTTGGGTGCTCTTGCAAGTCAATACTTTGGCTGCAAGGTCTCATGCCTGTAACAGAATAGCAGTCAGAGAAGGTGTGCCAAAGACAGCAGGGAAAGCCAAGAGGCATTGGTTGGAGCATCCTGATGCTAAAAGATTTTGAAAATACATGTCTAATGCAGTCTGAGGACCAAATGCAGGAGTTGAATGTTCAGGTTTGGGAAAACTCTAGCAGAAGTGCAGGTTTATACTGCACTTATACTATTAAGTATAAAATTTCCGAAAGTGCTGGTAAGTGTTACACACACAATGGCCCTTCACATGTTGGGAGGAGACTAACCCCCCTAAGGCCTACCTCTTCTTTATGTAAGAGTTAGATTGGAAGTAAGTACTAATGTGAAGAAGAACAATGAAACAAAGGACTAAAGTGAGGGAGAACTATTATCCAACTGAGTGTATTGTGATTACTTTTGTAAATGCTAAAGGATTTGCAATGATTATTATAGCATTGAGATCTTCTAGAAAAGTAAAGACAGAATTACCTATCACCAGGTCTTTATTTTAGTAGTGTTTCTTGGTGATACAATGACATATAAAACCAACTTTTAACAAAATTTGATCTAGTGTAATGTTTTACACTTTTTTCTCATACAGGCTTTAGAGTAATCATAAATCAATGTGCAATTTCAGTATTTTTGAAGGAAAACTGTGAAATGCTGTCCTATTTCCAATTTAGAAAAAGCAGTTACATATACCGTAAAGAAAATGTTGTTATCTCTACAACACAACATAGGAAATACTGTCATGCTTGTGTAATTGCATAGCAACTTGATACAGACTTGAGTGACTTTTGCGGAGACATTGACCCAGTGGCTCAAATGTATCTTTAGGATAACATCAGTGTTTAATGGATGCAGTTTTAAATCTACCATGCTATTAAACACAAAGGGCAAATTCATGCTTGGCATATGTCCCTTGGCAATGTTGGCACTAAACCAGGGAGTAATTTTCCCTATTGCATTTAACAACATGTTTCAGATTTAAAAGCCATGGAGCCATTAAAATATGACTCCATCAATTAGAAAGTAATTGTGGTATGTCTTTCTAGTGCTGAGGGATTAACTCAATTTAATCTCAGTGCGGTTAACAAAGGCAGTTAGCTACTTGCTTTAAATATGAGTTAAATCTGTAAAACATAATGACTTCATGGAGAACAGGATTGGCCCCATGGCACATGCCCAAAAAATGGGCTGTTGATTTAACTGAGTTCAGTGGGAACCTTGAACTGAAGGGCAACACGATCGAGCCCCTAGGGGCTGTTCCTGTAGGTGGTCCACACTTGAAATTCACATACAAGTTTTGTATCTTTTTAAAGATCATGAAAGAATATTGAACTATATCCAGCTTCGGTCCTCTCTGTGTTGATGCCAACACTTGCTTTAGGGCAACTTCATAAAGCAGAGATGGGAAGAAACTGAAGCGTAATGGTTGAGTATTTGTCAGTATTTGCTGTCGCTGGTAATTATTATTAGAAAATCCAACTTTGCATGCTAGATATTAGACAAAAGCTAGCAATGGAGCTGGAGCTGCTTGAGAAATTCTTGCTCCACAGCTGGCAGTTACCATCCTGCTAGCTGGTAACCAGCACACTCTCCATGCTAATTCACTGCGGTGCAAAGAACAATCAGTTGGCTTAATTCACCTGCAGAATACTTAACTATTATAAACTGATGGTGTCATGAAGGCCTGGGATTTTACCACTGAATTTGGAAGTATTTGAAGAATTACAGGGAAAGGAAGGACCTGTTACACAGTGCTTAGTTCAGACTGTCCCTCAGTTTGGGAAACACTTTAGTCCTGCTAGGGTCTGACACTGAATGCCATTGAACACTCTACCAAAAAGACTTGCCTTTCTGGAGTAAAAAACCATATTTTTAATAAGGTTTTAAGGTAAAGCATATTGGTACATTGTGAAGAGATTTGTGATTTCTCTCAGCAGATCCTCCTTTAGTTGATAGGAAGGAGCCTGTAGCTGTGATTGCATGTCTCGCTATAGAGGGTTAGAAAAAAAGAGGAACAGAAAGGTTAAAGCTGATGGTGAGAAAAGGCAGGAGGGATGTTATGGCCTCCCTGGGGCGTTGGGGGGGAGGGGAGAGGAAGTGAGATCTGTTGTGGCTGGGAGTTTGCTTTTTCTTTTGTTGGTAGCAAGCCTACTATCTGTTAAAGGTCCACTGAAGATACCGTGCTTCCTCCCCCCCCCCCACCGTCTACCGTATCCCCAAGATCTGCAAAAAGGGAAAAAAATCACGACGTGTGTGTCATGCTTCACAGCCCGTGAGCCATGCGGCCCCAGTCCTGGCCCCACAGTTTGGTGGCTGCTGCAGGACTGTGGTGGCTGGTGCCTCCCCGGCACTGCCATCCACCCTACACGCAGCCCTCCTTGTAGGGTGAGGGCTGCTCCCTGGTTAAGAGCTTGGGGCAGGGATCTCACAGGCTGACCATGAAGGGTTTCCTGTGCACCTCTTTCCTTCAGGGGATTATACCTTTGACCTGGGGCTTTCCCACCTGGGCTGGGACTTCCCACCCAAGATGCAGCGAGGCTGAGGGGTGGCAGGGTGAGAGGCAGCCATCAAGTGGTGAGCAGCCAGTGCAGGCTCCTGCTAGGGCTTTTCCCTTGTAGGGTTGAAAGCCCCTTGCCTGTCAGCCCTGGCAACAACCTCCCTTAGTGCCTCTGTCTTTCCTTCACCCCCTTAGAGAGCCCCTCTGACCAGCCTGACCGTTTCCTCATGCCCACCCATCACTGGCCTCCTCTCAGCAGCTAGCCATCCCTTCTGCCATCCCCTCCATCTTGCCAGTTGTGCTTCTCTAAAGCCATCCTCCTAGTCATCCCCTTCATGGCCCATCCCCCAGACAGTCTTGCTCCTGGCACCTTCCTCCTTCTCCCAAACCTCTGCCCCCACTTTGCCTTTCGAGCTCTTTCGGAAACAGGAAATGCTGTCAGGGCTGTATCTGTCTCCTTTGCTCCATGCTGTTTGGTGTAATATGCATTTACTGGCCATTGGCAAGGAAGGTCTAGCTAGTGCAAGAGGGTCCACAAAGATGCTAGCCTGATGCTGTGGAAACTGGGGATCTTGCTTTTAGGTAGATGGCTTGCACCTGTCTGTTATACCTCTGTTGCTGAACAGAAGGATGCCGAGAACTATCACTCCTTTTCTTTCAGTTCCTTTCTAGCATGGTCAGTGGCAGAACCCTTAAGTTCAACATAGTAGATAATCCAAAATACTCTGATTATGTATTTATGTAGGTGGGCATTCCTTATCACTGTCTTCATTTAATGAAGGATTTAACAAAAACAGTTCTTTCCCTTTTTCTTCCATTCTGCCTAGTCAGGCTTCTCTGAGAAAAGGCAAAAGCAAATCTGTTAGGTGGATGCTTTAGTAGAGAAACTGGGATCTGATGGAATTGTGTAAAACCACAATTTATTTATTCAGCTTTGAATGAAAGATTTGTGATGTTGTCCATACCCTTCCGCACTTCAGAGCGGTAATCTAATCTAAGATGTTGTCTCTCCTATAAAGCCCTGAAATACAGTTGCGCAAAATAATGCAACTGAAGTAAAACTAAAAACCTAGAAGGTAGAAAGTTGTGCTAAGAAACTACCAAGAAGTTCTTGCTAATATATTAACTGATGACGAAGTCTGAGTGATCATTCAATACAGTCTGTCCCTAAAAAGAATTAACTGAATGTGTATCAACTTTTCTGCAATGTGCATTGAATTTTATTTCCTCTGTTTTTACTTCTTCTAGGGCTGTCAGAATGAGTGCATGGCTGGAGGATGTTCGGGAGAAACAGCAAAGCATATGACCGAATCTTTCAAGGTATGTTGCCTGTTAGAAGATGAGTGTCTGAAGCATTTCAGTAGATGGTGCCAGACAGCATCCGTAACATGGTAGTGGTTGTTGTACAGACGTTCATAGCTACTGACAAGGTTGAACGTCATAATTCTGTAAGTTGCATTTGCTGAAAATGTTTTCAATGTAGAAATTAAGAATGTTACAAGAAGAACTTTATTATAGTTTCAGATACTAGCTAAAAGGTTAGTCGTCATTAAGCAAAAATTAAAATGGTATAGGTGATTTTATTTTTAACTCTTATCTGCTTCAAAAGCAATAGAAATAAAGATTGATTCTCCCCATTAAGGTGTTTTCCAAACAAAGTCTATGTAACACTCTATTATTTGTTAAACTTTGGCATTATGAATGGTGTTCAAAAGTAGGTTTTTCCATCTGGTCTCAAAGTTGCAGAGCTAAGGATCTCAGAAGGACTCCAAAGTACACCACAGCTCTGGCACATTATCAGCACTCAACAAGCAAACAGGGCTATGATAATAAGGAATGCTGAGCAGCTGCCAGGAAGTGACGTGAAATTGAATCCCTCTTTTTTTATTTTAATCTTCTGCTTAGAACTGAGCTCAGTTAAGATATCACTCTTTTCCTCTGCCTCCTTCCTGAATGCAGTGCTAGTAACTAAGAGCTCATTTTAAACACTGTATGGACACAGATGTCAACGTTTAATTTTCTGTTGGAAATGTAAAGCCCATCAGCATGTGCTCCTTTAAATTCTACCTTCTGTCCTCATTCCCTTTTTTCTGCCTCTCTTTTATGCTTCTTTTGCCTTTATTCCTTATGTCACACATCTGTAATTCTTTCTCCCCCTCTCTTTCCCTGCTCTACAATCTTTAAAAAGCCTCATCTGTATTTTGCAGATGTTTAAAAATAGTACCCAGAAAAAGGTGACCTCAGTTGTGCTTTTTCAGCAGTTCCCTTCCTGTTACTGCTGACTATTGTCAGCAGTTCATGAGATGAAATTATAATGATACACTTTGTAACTGTCATGTTCTTCCTGATTTTTTGGGCAGTGTCACTGCTGTGCAGTCTTCTGAATTATGCTTACGTAGTTATTTCCCTTTTAGTTACCAGGCTTTAACCAGATACGGAAAATAAATGCTGCAGAAAATGTGCTGGACTCCTTGATAAGATTTATTCTGATGCTGGTCTCATTGAAAACAGCAAAGAATTCTTGAGAGTCCATGACTACAGAATTTCGCCGTGTAGCAACATGCCATTTAATTTCTTCTTCCCCATTCTCAGCCCTTCCCAGTTCTTCTCTTCCTCATTTCTTTGCATTGTGTCTCGCTGGCAATTCTGCCCAAGAAGGAAGATTTAGGATCACTTTTTAGCCAGAAGGTCTGATTTGGAAAATGTTGACAAAACCAGGCACGCAACCAGTTTTGAAACCCCAAGAATTCACAAGTATAGAGTGCAGGGTTGTTTTGTGAATTCACCTTTAATAAATAGACAAGATAGATCTCAGTAGATTCATTCAGTAGAGTGTGCTAGTGTATTTAGAATCAAAAATTGCTTTACAGAGAGGAGGCTCTTGTGTAACCGCACTGTACTGTTTCCTTCCATTCATTGACGTAGTCCAGAAGGAAGACAGACAGAGTGGCAACAAACTCTGATAGTGTTTGTGTCATAGGTGAGCTGGGCATAAACTAAAGCAGTCTTAAGGCAGATTTAATTATACCAGCAGTCAAGCAGGTGCCTTACCAAAGCTCCAAATATTGGGTGGCACAAAGTTGGATTTAATCCAGTCTCCTTTCCATCGATACTTGTATGTCAGCCAGAATGGCAAATCATTGTAGTGGAGAGTCTGTGTGAGGGGAAAAATATATAAGCAGGTGGGACAGATGGTCGCAAAGGGAATAATACTAGAAAAAAAACAGCTGGCTCAGGCTGAAGTCTAATTTGTAAGTCCATTCCTGTCTTATGGCTCTGTTTCTGAAGATTAGCTGCAGTCACCAGAAAGGGGTACAGTTTTTTAGAAAATTTTTTTTTGGGGGGGGGGGTGTCTATGAAAGTTATGATGGGAATACAGGTACTGGTTGCAGTGTCATGCATTATAATAATTATTTGCAGTCTCTTTAACTTCATTGTCAAAATAAAAACTTTATAAATGAAGGAAAAAATAACCCCAGACAATGACAAATAAAATAGCCTGGATTCATTCTAGGGAACTTCACAAACATTTCTGTGGAAGACAGTTACGGTTACAATTTCAGAAACTATAGCTAATAATATTTCAAAGGAATCAAGCTGACCCATGGGGCTGACTGCTGAAGGAAGCTGCAATTTTGTGCCAGTAACCTAAGTAATCCAAGATTGTGGGAATGTAGAAAACAGGCTATGGTTTTGTTTTATGCTTACATAAAACAGATTGTTTAAAGTGGATGATGCCCAACGTTTGAATGCCAGATTAGCCTTCTGAAGACATTTCTTTTTAGAATGCAGTGCTGTGGTCTTTCGGTGGGGTGAGCTTCTTTGAATTTTACTGCAATTTCTGCCTGACGTGAAAAGGTGGACTTGGAAAGTCCTCATACACTGGGAGGGAAGGAATGAATGCTACCTACAGCTTCTAGCAAGCAGTGAGCCCCTCTGCTACCTGCTCGCTGTTTTTGATTTACATGGGCTTCTCTTAAGCCAATAGGTCAGAATTGGCACTTTGTTCATTTTAACTGCTACTGAAATACCTTAATTTGACTCGCTTCTGCAGTTAAAAATCTCATCCTGACAGGTCTGTGATTTACAAGATGCTTAATGTATTGCATTTAGAGTTGACGCATGACCAGTGATCTTGGAACAGATAAGAAACATCGAAGGAAATAGTGATTATGCTAGAGCTTCCTGTATTGTAGAAAATGTCAGATCTCCAGGATTTATCTACCCAGCTTCTTCCATTAGAGTGAAATCTTTCTCCCTCCCCCAACTGTTGTATGCACATATTTATATATTTATTTATTTAAATAACTGGCTGTGGTTTGTGACCATAACCTAAGAAGTTATACTTGTAGTTTTTGCCTATTGTCAGCATTGGATCTCTAGGAGGGGAGTATGAAACCAGTAATGGAAAGTGCAGTCATCCTCTGTACCACTGAATGTATTTCAGAATGTTAAATCAAGAAATGCACATACCTGGTTTTGCTCTTATACATGTTTTTTGCATTCAGTAATACCATGAAATAGCACACAGTTATGTCTGAGGCACTTAATGTTTATGATTAAAAAATCTGGTAATTCCTTTAATGCATTCATTCTGCTTATTGTACTGTCGCAAGACAGAATGAATGTTGTTGGGATAAGGTAGCGGTCTTTCCATATGTAACTCTAACTTGGTTTCTTTTAATGTGTGTTTTAGCTCTGACTTTTAATTCATAATACTTGGTCTTAAGAAACTAAAGGCATCTATGATTGCCTTTTCTTTCCCTCATGTTATCAATCCATATCCAGAAAGATGATTTTAGTTTTTATGTAACCTTTTGTCGTGGAATACATTTTCTCTTTGAGAGACTGATACATGGAACACTTTAAGAAGGTATTATCTACTCCTGTTATGTTTTTCTGTGTTTTAATGATCTGAAGCTATGTAGAATTAGTTGGGCATCTTAATTGTGCAAAGTTCAGTTCTTTTGTTTTAATTTTTAACGGCCTATTTAGTGTACCAAAATGGTGCAGACCTTCTAGGGAATACTGGCTAGTCTGCTACGCCAAAGCAGAATAAAGTAGCTATAGTTTACAAGTGGATCTGGATTGACTTGCTAACATGAAGACTTGTGGTAGTGGAATGAAAAATGTTTAAGTGGAGCTTCTGTATCTGAATGGCTCCTCATGTTACTCTAAATGACTGTGAGTGTTCCCGCGCAGTCTTCTGCAGACAGACCCAACCTTCCCAGGCTCCAAGCCAGTGGGATGTGAGCCCACAGCAGACTGGAAGCTGTATAGGCAGGTTAGTGCAGTGCTGTGCTCAAACTAATAATCCCTGTTGAGATCTTGGACTTGCTAGACTGAATACAGTGCTATGCTAATATGTTTGCATGGTTTCCAGTTTGAAGCTAGCTCATGTCTAGCTGTGTGAGATGCTGGATATAGTGAATTTTCTGTAATGATGTATGTTTTAGTATTTGTTTCTTGCATTGCTATAATGTTTTAGAGCCCAAGCTGTGAACTAGCTGACATTGTGCTAGGTATTGTACAAATTAGAACATAAAAGTTATTTCCACGCGATAGGTATAACCTACAAATAAACAACGAAATTCTCCGACAGTTTTTTCACAGAATCTAAAGCGTATTTTACCTCTGGGTGAAGTATGAAGAAACTGGAAATTTATTTCCAATACACACATTTGTGATTCAAATTGAGAGATTGCTAATGAAAGTTTTACAGACGTTGATCTTGTTCTTGGAGGACTCTTCACACAAATGTAGTTGTTCGTTGTAATAGGAGCTTTAGTTGCATGTTTTAAAATGTGTAGCCTTTGCATGAAATGATTGTGAACTTGGTTGGCTCTATGCAAAACATACTGTGCTGATTCCAATTCTCTGCCTTGTTTCACGTTCTTGACAAATAATGTAATAGCATTGAAGATAAAGAACAGGTCTATATCTTACCCTGGAAACATTAAAATTATAAATAAGGTAGTATTACAGGAGTAATCTATGCAGTTAAGATGTAGGTTAGATGTTATTGCAGTATGCAGCATTTCTTGTTATATAGTGTACATTAGAAAGAGTTGGAAAAATTCCTTTCTTCTGTGGAGAAAGATACGCCTAATTTCAAAACAGTCTTTCAAAGGAAAACCTAATTGTTGCATTTTCTATGTTTACATTAATGAAACTACATTACTGTGATTCATTACCATGTCTATACTAATGAAACTCAAGTGTGTCTATAATTTGTGCCAAACATAGTGGCATATCAGATTCCTTACTCTGGGAATTGGGAGACGGACCAATCCTTTTTGAGATATTAGACAGTTTTAAGC